CGAAATTAATTTTCATATTTGCCGAAATTATTTCCGAAATTTTTTGAATTCTTTTCATCAAAATACATCATATAATAGTTATTTCGAAGGGATTCATATAAAAAATTTAGCATTGCCGAAATGTTTGCCGAAAATACGATTTTTCAAAAATAATTTAGACACCCATGTATATGCATAGCCTTGCAACTAATTTTTCGTTACATCTGATCTTGAAATTCCATACTACACAGCCTTGCCACTAAAAAAGTTTACTAGTACAGTATTAATAAAATATTATTCAAAATTCCAAGAAATTTCAAGATATGTATATTTTCTTTCAAGCAACTTGGTACACTATTACATTAGTATAATTTTAATTTTTATATTAGTTATTATAATTGTAAAAATATTATTCCTATCGTTCCTGAGAGAATTAAATTTACTTATAGAATTTTTTTTAAAAAATTAGAAATAATAAAATTTATTTTAATATAAAAAAAACATTATTTCCTATATGATTATATAAAAAATAATTACATATAACACTTCTATACTATCACCAAACAATTACGTGTTTAACTATGTAAATTATATGAAAAAATAACTGTATAAGAAATGTTCCCGTAAAATTTTTATTTGTAAAGTAGCAAACTTTCAAACAGGCCTGCCTACTTTTTTGTATGAAGTTTTTTCTTACTTTGTATGCATTGAATTAGCCTACTCTAGCCATATATTTTTAAAAAAATATTACAAATTAGTGTAATACGTATATATACAAATATAACTTCTAGTAGGTTATACCATGATTTGAATTTTGTGTGATTTTATGAGTAAAAACATCAACAACATAATCAGCAGCTGTACCAGATGTCATTTTTCCATCAAATACTTTTTTTTCCAACTCATCAACAAGTTTTCTAATAGATTCATCCGAATTCAATCTGTAGAGTTGAATTTTCAGCATGATCCTTTACTGAAAACAAGATTTTTGGAAAAAGAGTTTATACCTATTTAGAAGTTCGGATTTTATTTGGCGCCACATCCATAATTTTCGCTGATTCCCCCGCCTTTTTTGCAATTCGCCAGAATTCTAAAAATATTGAAATGGTTAAAAATGCTTTCAAAACTATATTTAAGCTAAAGAATCTTTATCATTTTTTTACCCTCATTACGTTGAAATATTCGAGTATAATATTCCATACATCATTCACTCCTTTACTTGTTTTTGAAGATACACTGGTAACCTAGACAAACAAGTAAGCCTATTAATTAAATAAAAAATACATTCATT